GGGGGGGCTGGGGACGAGCGGGGGGGAGAGCGGGGGGCGCCTGGCAGGCGCAAGGGAAGGAGCAGGAGAAAGCTTGCTCCCCGCTGACCCCCTCAGCGCCGGCCACGTGGCTCACGCGCTCAGGCAGGGCACAACAAATAGGCAAAATGCTTCAGGTTGAGCATCAGGGATTTTTCTGAAGTTTTCTCGGAAACATTTTTGGGTGTTTTTTTTGTTAAGGTTCATCTAAATGAAACGGAGGAGGAGGGCTATTTTTCTGCAGAATTAAATCATTTTATTTAAAATGTAGTTGTAAGTGAGATAACACTTAAAAATAAAATTAAAACCTGTCATTACACAGCACACACCCCTCTCACCCCAAATACTAAAAGAATGTCAAAATGGATTTTTTTTTTTTTTTTAGGTCTAATAATCCAGCTTCTGGACCTGACCAAAGCATCCTGATGGTTCAATAGCATTTCAAAATACTTGGGTGCATCCAAATTTGCATGTTTCAGGGAAAAAGTTTTTTTCCAAAAAATACAATAAGCTCTCTGTAGTCATCACTGCCTGGGCTGTCTTTGCAGTACGAGGGAGGGTTTGTTCCTACATCTCCTGATAGATTTTTCCTTTAATAAGTAAAACTCATGCATAGCATGAGTAAAACTCATGCACTTGCACCAAAAAGCACACGCCCTATTGAATTTTCTGAGATAAGTATTTTAAATCCAGCTTTCCCCAAAGCTCCAGACATGCATTATTTACAGCTTAGAATAATAATGTTACAAGCTGTATTATATTAAAATTGTTCCATAAAATATTACGATTATCATTTTTTGTAGCTTGACTTAAGGTGCACAATTTATATAAAACAATATGAATTATTTTCTGTTACAAAAATTATTCAGTGTGGGCTCTGTGTATTGCAGTTATTAATCTTTCTATTTAAATGCAAATTTTTCCTTTCAACTGAAAGCTAAAGATACTTTTTATACAACTAATAAAACACAACTCTGATCTCCTGATCCCTCATCAGGGAGATGCCTTTTTCAGTTATGTTTAGGATGTCTCCGCCAGAACATGGTGTTCCTTTACAACAAGGATGCTCTCTTCATATATATATATAGAGAGAGAGAGAGAGAAAGAGAGAGAGAGTATATTATTCTTGGTAAAAATGAAATATTCATTTGTACAGCAAGATGTTACTTGGGCAATCCTTAGTTGCTTTGTTTTTGTAAGAGGAGGAATGTAGATCTAAAAAGAGCAGTGGCCTTTTTGTGGCCATATGCCTTGCCTGAAAAATATGAGGGTAATTTATCCTTAGAAAAACCTACTCTGACACCAAGTAGGTTTGCTGCCAGGTGAAACCTGAACTCAAGATCACTTTGAGCAGGTTGCTGCCAGCTCAGACAGGGATGGGTAGAGCAGTCAGGCCGAACGGTCAGAGCTGCTTCGTCCAGTCTTAAATCAGTGATTGAAGAAATGTCAGGCCTCCTGTAAAGCAAAGTATTTGTGCTGCTAAGAAACTGCAGAAGGCTTCATGGCAGCCCCAAAATACCATATCACCAGGTATCCAAGTGACATGGGAGCGGTTTGGTCTGTTAGGCAGAGGTGCTGGAACCTCCTCCCTCCCTCCAGCTCGTTATGGCTTTGGGCTCTAGGAAAAAGAGAGCTAAGTGTTATTAAAAGCGAGCAATGGAGACCAGCGGTGGTGGCATCTGTAAGGGCCTATCCTCTGATGAGAGGGCAGGTCTCTGCTCTGCCATTTCCCTCCATTTGGCCAGAGCAGCTTGGACTACCAGCATGGGGCCATGGGCAAGAGTGAGAGGCTTTTGGCTGGGCTGTCCACCTAAATTGCTGCTCTTCTCGTCTCTGGTAGGATGGTGGAAGTTGCCCGGTTGGACTACAGTGAGACTTCCAGTATCCCGTCCCTGGGAGTCAGCCCCAGCTGGTGTTTTTGCAGGTCTCCTCTGTATGTACAAAATGCAACATTGCTCAGGGAGAGAGTTAACTCTTAGCTATCAGACAGGTTGCATCCTGAAGCAGAAACCATAATGGTTTATGCCATTTCAGGCTAATTTCTGCCAACTCCTGTTCTGATAAGTGCTACTCTTACCCTGAGCAGCTCCGAGGACTCTATCTGTAATCAGGTTTACAGCGTCCAACTTCTAGTTACTGTGTTAGCAAAGGAGATTGAAAACCGTGTGGTACCTCCATTTGCAGCCTTGCCTAAAAGCAGACCTTCCATTCCACCGTGAGAAATGCCATGTCCTGCTGGCACAAAGTTTTCTGATTTTCTCCCAGGTGTCACATGCAGACCAGTGGAGCATGTTGTCCTCTGCTTGCTGGCCGCCGCTGTGTCTCCCTTGTTCGTTTTGGTCCAACTAACCCCAGGCGGGAAGCCAGCTGCTTCAGCCAGGGGAAATGCAGGTAAGTGAAAAGGCTGAAGCAGGGAGCAGTGCTATAATTAACTGGCCGTATTAGGCATTTTACAATTCTGACACCTCACAAGACTGGAAGTTTAATGAGAATGGAGAGAGGCTCAAAAGCAATCCATTTTCCTGGTAAAGATTGTAATGAAGGTGTGAAATGATGCACAGCTAACTAAACTTGTCTGTAATAGCCTCTCTGTTATAATGTAGTGTTCTGACAGACTTTAGAAAAAACAATACAGTGCACATACATATATATATATATATATATATTCCTTTCCTTACAGTGCTAATGTAAAACAAAGTTTGGCCTCATGTGGATGTGCCATGTGTAGGTCAGGTGCCAAAGTGTGTGAAGAACTCATCTATGAAACAAAATACTTATTTGCCATGTGAAAAGCAGGACGACAACAGAAACACTGTAGAAACATGCCCCGGAAAGGAAGCTCACGTGGAGCCGTGGGTGCCAAAGCCAGAGCCAGCTCTGAAATGGCACCAAGTAGCGCTCTGCTGGCCGTGGACCCAGGGCAGCCCATTTGCCGCATCTGTCATAGAAAGCGGATGAATTCCCTGCAGATCTGCCAAGGGAAGGCAGGGAATTAGCATAAAGGCATTTGCTCAGTGTTTGCTTCGGAAGATGCTGTGTCTCTGGTTATTAATTTATAATTCAGCAGTAGCAGCTGTAAACAGAGTGTACCTTGCACAGTGAAACCCTGTAGTCTGTCACTGCGATTGCAGCTCTCTGCTCTCATTTGCAAGTAATGCGTCAGATGAGGGTGGGCGCAAAGGCAACTGGAGCAGCATGGCCCACGCTATCTGGCGCGTGGTGGCACTTGGGAGTGGGCAGCCCCCGACGATGTTTTTGGAAGTGGCTACTTTCCTATGGGATCTTGTTTCCCCTGCTGTCATTGTCACGGGATTTTATCTTCCAGGTGCACTCGCAGCTGCTTGGAAGCTGCGTGCATCTATTTAGCCACCTGCCCCGTAGGAGGCCGGCAGCCGAGCAGAGCAGTCCCGCGGCTGAACGGGAAGCTGAAGGCAGGCGTGCCCCTGTGTGCTCGGAGGTCAACAATTTCTCATCCTATATCTTAAATAAATCAGTCTGGTTTATGGCAGACACATAAGCATAGGAGAGTTTCTGTTCTGGGCAGCTCTTGTTCCAGTTTGATCTAGCAGAGAACTTGTCCTGGCTAAGCTGAATTGCCTTTTCCTTTTGTGTGTATATAATTTGTATGCCTAGTATAAATATCAAGCACATACATCAAGAATAAAAATGGATATAAACACATTGTTAATTGCAATTGGTATGTAAGTACCCGAGCCCATAAATTCCCACTCCTGTAATTAATTTGACTCTCAGAAGCAGTCTGCTCGACTTCTCGGGACTACCTGCATGTGTGTGGCTGAGCTTTTGCGTAGCTGCTTGCAGGATGGAGCCTTCCTTCCTAAACTACATGCGTTTTACATGCGGCATATGGTGAAGGCCCATAAAGTATGATTGTGAGCATTAAAGTTTCTGCTCTCCTGCAGGGAGCATCACATCCTGAGGGGTTACTCCACTCACTAACATCAAGATCCTATAGGAAAGAAGCTTCTTTTATAGATCTCAGCCATATTATTTACGGTAAATAGCACTTATATTTCCATGCAATGTGTTTGTATTCTAGAGTTTTGTTTTCAGTTGGGCTCAAATTTGCTTTTCTTTAGCACATAATGGGAGTTGGAACAATACAGTTTTGGCAAAATATATGGGAAGGTTACATAAATACTACACAAGCTTCCTATATGCTCTGCATGTCTTTTCTAGTATATTTAAATGGTATAGCTACGCAGTTAAAGCACACCTATTAATACAAGTTAATACAAAGACACAATTATTTTATGGGAGCACTTAAGTTACTTTTTTGTAAAGAGAACAGGAGGATCCCCTGAGACACTGCAGTACAAATAAAGGATAGAAACTCAATTAGTGAAAGCACAGAAACGAAAAGTGAGACATGAATAATGTAGAGTAGAGTATAATTCAGTAGGTATATTAGTTTGTGTAACGTAATGTTTCTTATACATTAAATGGCTGGACTGAAGGATGAATTAGCCTCTTTTCCTGTGGCAGTTCCCTAAACTGGGCTTGTCAGAATTTCTCTGCAGTATTCTGACTTGAGACAGTGCAAAGTCGATTCCTTAATCCTAAATTGATGGAGGTGTCACTTTGATATTTCCATTTACTTTTTTTCATTACAAGAAGAGCAGAAACTGTCCAGAATTATTTTTTTCATTTTATGTTCCTCTGAGGCTCCAGAAACAACCAGTGAATTTTTTTTTTTGTTTATATTATTTTAAACTATTGTTTTCCAAGTGAGGCTGTATAGAAGCAGGAGCCTCAACAGTTAGTCAGAAAGTAAAGAAATAAATAATCGGATTTCCAGAAATAAACCCGATCCCTACCCTTTTTTTCTTAGAAGCCAGCAGCATGTTTCCAGCAAGGGGAGACCGCGTAACAAAATGCTGCCCTCTGGCCCGTGCCTGCAGATCGCTTTGGTACGCGACTTCTGAAGCCCTTTCTGCCGTTACTAGAACAAAGCAGTGGTTTCCTCTCTCATCTCCTGCGAGAGCCGCGGGGCCGGCCAGGCCGTTCGCGCCGCGTGTGATAGAGAGGGGGTTTGCACGGTGGTCTGAGACTTGGGGGTCTGCTTTCACGCAGCTTCCAGTGCTTTAATCCTGCTGGTGAGGCAGTTCTCCCCGGGGGCAGCCGAGTGTCCGTGTTGGCCAGCGGTTTCGTAGGGAATACGTCTCTGTAAAACTCCGGTGAGTAGTCCTTGGGGCAGTGGTTGCTAAGAAAATACGAAATTATTGACGTGTATGTCCTTTCCATCAAAAGCATTTCCCAATTAGTTGGTTCAGAGTGATTAGCGCTGGTAACCTGCTGTCAATCACTGCTCCTATTTATTTATAGAAGGCTTGGTGATTAAACTGCTTTGAAATAAAGGCAAAAATGAATATTTTGCAAATGAAATTATTCTTCATGAGCTAAAAAGAAAACCAAGAAGAATCCTGCCCCTGGCAAGAGCAGGGCATGTACAGGAACCTTCCCAGGACAGAGCTGGAGTAGTCAGCACAGCTCCGTGGCTGGGAGTGTGGGGGGCAGCGTAATTCAATTAAACTCAGTGGAGTTTGGCTATAATCTCCACCTAGGCAGCTGCGACTGTAGAAAGCAAAAAAGTATTTTCAGAGCAAAGGCTGTTGTCATAAAGCATTTTGAAAAAACGTGTGAATGTGTCCTCTTCTGAAACAGCGGTTTATTTCTTAAGTACAATTAACTACAATTAACATTACGTTCTTATATGGAATTGGAAATTGCAATTCCTTTGATCCCCTAACTAATTATTATATTGTTAAATATTTCAGAGCTTGAGTCGCTACTTTTTTTTTTTTTTTCTGTCACCGAAAAATTACAGCACATTGCCCCTGCTGCAAAGATGCTGCGAGTCGGGGTTTGGAATGGGCTTGTTTTTATTAGGGTTGGTAAATAATTTTAGCCTTTTTATCAGCATTTTGCCGATGTTGTCACTGGGTTTGCAGGCACAAGAACACAGCCCTATTCTCTTTTTGAACAATGGCTACATTGGGTCCCTGTATGGGCAAACCCAGAAAACATTCTTGGAGCTTCCTTTCAAAATATTATTTACTGTCTGTCTGAAGACAGCACACAGAAGTAAAGCAATAGAAACAGCGTTGCTTCATTTAACAGTGTGAGATCCTCACAATGTATTTCAGTTTATATTATTCCAGAGATAAGAATCTTTAAATACTGAAGGAGCTTACAGGGTACAAGCATTGTATTGACGTTTTTCTATGCTATCATAACCACGGATTCATCTGCTTGTCCTTATGTTAGCAATTTAATTTTAATCCACGGCAATAACGAAAAAGTGCATTACTGGGGAAGAACAAACCCTTCATAGCCCACATTCCTGATATTTTTAGGGAATTGAAATGCGTTTTCTGTTGACAATAACAGACTATCTTTAGGTCTTCCATGGACATCTACGAATAACAAAAATAGGTTTGCTAATGTATTGTCAGCCAGAGGGAAGGAAATACTGTTTGTAACACTTTTTTTCAGGAGCAGATCTGGAACCCTCTGTCTGTGCTCTGTAGCGCCTTTATTCTGCGAGTTCGCACAAGAAACTCAAACCTCCATCCAGCGTGGGAAAGCACTTCTTCATGTGCTCAACTTCAGCTGGGTGAGAGCTGGTGAAGTACTTCCAGAGCCCGTGTGCATGGGTGAGAGGGCAGAGCCCCAGCGGCTGAGCTGCCCTCCCGGCTCGGGGCTTAGCTGGATGAGGCTGCCGGTCCCTGTTACCAAGTGGTCAAGCCGGGCACTGGCACAGGAAACCTCCCCTGGCGGCACAAGGAGAGATTTGAACTGACAACAGTGAGAATCCCTTTGGATGTGGAAAACCATCCATTTGCCTTGCACAGTACAGCTACGGTTAACCACTGCTAATTGCAACAGCTACCAGAGCAATCATTCGGAGCCAGACCGCTTCAGGTATTGAGTGAAGGTTTTGTGCTTTTATGGAGTGTTTCTGGAGGACTCTGAGGATAATAGCATGACATATTTTGCTCTCCTGTTTTTTCTTTCCTACACACCTGTTATGTGTATTATGAAAGCTCCAGGTAACCAGGTTCTCAATGGAGGCAGCTTCTTGCCCCCACCAGGCTCCAGCTACAAGCCTGGTGTGTGTCCACCTTGGTAACGTGGTGGCCTGGCCAGGCTGAGCACCGAGACGTCCTGCTGATGCCCTGCCTGGGCAGGGGATGTCCAGCCCGCGTGACTGCAGAGCATGGTATGGTGTAGGCAGCAAAAGAGTAGGCAGAGAAGGTGGGTTGGGACATATGTGTCAAACTGGGCTCCTTGCCCTTGCTCTTGCAGGAGATCTGGCTTCTCACAACAACGTAGGTGTGAACGCTGTGTGATATTGGGTCCTCTTCAACTTTGGGTCTCTTCCAAGGCACAGATACGCAGGCCAGAGGGTCTTCAGTTGAGGGGCTTCGTTGTCACAACACAATTGTAGCCATGGACTTGCTCAAAATCGGGAAAAACCCAAAATCTGAAGATGTACAGAGCAGAGAGCCAACTTGAGTTAAGAGTGTTATAAAAGGAGAATATTTTGAATTCCATTTTTTTTTATGATTTCATCTTTATACATATCGTATAAATCCTCCAAAATGGAGCACAGTGCGATATTTCTTTCCTCTGGTTTACTTTTTTCTCAACTCTTGCAAAGAATTTTCTATCACAATTTTGAGGTTTATTAAAAAAAATCCTATGGGAAATGAGTACCATTCTTTATTAAACTACATAGGATATGTTCCTAAGAGTCTCTCACACTCCTCCCACACACAGCTTCCTACATGTGAGATAAATTAAGAATGTCACTATCTTTGATGCCAGAAGTATTTCCATCTTCCACTGCAAATATGCAGTGATGCATCTAGAATAGCACTGTCAAGGGAAGAAATCTTCACATGAACAAAATTTAGCTGTCTGTGTTCCTGTTCTACGTGCACTTAAGCATTTATCCACAGTGGATATTTACTTCTGTGAGATCATGCCAGGTGCAGGTAAAAGGAGGAAGAAAACTCTTCTTTCTTCATATCTAAAGCTGTTCTGAGGGTATTTCTGTGCTTTGCGGGAAGCGTGGCTCATCTGCTCGAGCACAGAGATATCTCCGTGTATATTGGGCCTTCCCATGAGTTGTATCAACCCTGCTATGGTCTTGCAAAACAGTAGAAGGGGTTGATTGAAGGGCTTTGCGCTTGCTAGTAGCACGGAGGTTGCTGAGGAATCTGGGTGACCCTTGCTGGCATGCAGGGCATTGTCTGCACCTCGTTTTGCAGAGCCAAAGGGCAGACATCAGCGCTGGGTTTGTGCTTGCGCTTCTCCCTTGCGGCCAGTCATGCCAAAATATGCGCATGTAATAGCTTTCCCTTTTCCTAATGCCTCTTACTAGAATGTTGTTTAAAAATAATGTGTTTTCCTGCCATTAAAAACACTAGGTACAAGTGGAGAACTGGATAGAAATGCATTGCTTAATAATTAAAACAGAAATTCAAATTTCAGGGAGTGCAGTCAGTCTCACAGAGTACCTGATCTGGTGTCCAGTGTGCAGTACAGTAGCAAGAAATGCACCCACAGCACCACTCCTCCATGGGAAGGTACAAATTAGAAATTTCAAGGACTGTTGAACACTGTGAATTTCCACTGTGGATCAGCACAAAGTTATTTGGCACAGGAAGTTCTGTAACTGTGTTACATTGGGAAGCTTCATATTGTGCAATGGCCCTAAAACTCATCCTCCCCCCTTTAACATTTGGAGAGCCAGTGTTAAGACATATTTAATATAAAGCAGATAGATAGGATACTAGCTGACTGGAGTGTTGTTTTTTTTTTTTGTCTCTTGTTGCCTTTTCATTATTCATCTTAGGATCATCTCCTTTGCAATTTATATTCAGCATAAATAATAATTAAACCAGGAGACAGAGATGTTACAGTGTAAACGTGAAGAAAAATTCCCTGAAAAATTCCCTGTCCCTGATGGGGAACAAAGTTACAAAGGTAGCCAGGACATGAAGAGTCTTCTCTAGTCTAAGGAAATGTGGTCCTTTGCTAATGCCTGCTGGAGAGAAGGAAAGCATTAACATGCAAACGCTGCTCTTAAGTGCCCAGAATGTAGTGATTAAAGCACTCTTGCTGTGTGATCTTAGGCCTCTTACCCTTTCTATTCGTTAATTAATTTCCTCTATCATTTATGTATTAATAAAAACAAATTACCTGCTTCATGGGAGGTGAGAGGTTTTATTCATTTCTGTTTGCAAACAGCTTTGAGATCCAAGGAAGGAAGGAAGATGTTACAGAAATGTGATGCCTGTATGTAGTGCATAAATGATATATGACAAGGTTTTATTTCTTGGCAGTGTGATAATTTGGCCTTGAAGTAAGTCTTTTTCCTTTTCTGCGTCTAAATTTCTTTTTCTGACATTGTCAAACAAGGTGCAGCCTTTTACTCTAATGTGATACGTAAATGAGTGAGTTTATGAACGCATCTGTTTGGGGTGCCTTTGTTTCAGCCTCCTTTCTTAAGCAAGCGTCTATGGGTGACTCAGTGCCTATGGAGCCTTCTACCAACAGGTCATGAGTTTGAAACTAGTGCTGGGATTCAAAATTGCTTCCGTGTCCCACCTTTATGAGATTACCATGGATTCATCTCCTGGAATCAAACTCTGCTCTCCACTATTACCAACAGGCTAGAAGCTGCAGTTATCCTGCGTGGGACAGAGGTGTGCAGATGGGAAGTTCTCAGGTAGAAAAGTAGAGTCGGTTGTTCTCTACTGTCACAATTTATGCCTTGCACTAAATTTACATTTTTTAATGTCTTTGTGTGAAAATGGGCTCATTAATTAACTTGCATTAAAAGTCACATGGGGAGTTCCGTGTATGTTGTGAGCTATGCAGCATTCACCCTTTCCACATATGCTCTCCCCTCTAAAAGATAAGCCAACTGAGAGAGGGATAAAAAGAGTTGAATGAAGAACATATTTTACTGGTGAGCTGTTGGGCATGGGTAGAGACACGCACCTTCCGAATACATAAGCACTTGACCAAGATCTTGCAGTCTAGCAAACCGACACATGGTAGTGCTGGCTGGAGGCTGCATGTATATTGTCTGCAGCTTTGTCAGTAGAGTTCAGTAAAGGCTGATACGCAGCCATAAAAGGCAAGAAACGTGCTATCAGTGGGTGTTCTTGATGTCTTTTCTCATGGTGAGTAATGCAAACAAACATGACATACCTTACTACCTGTGCAAACCAGTCCCAGGGCAGAATCAGCTGGCATCTCTTCTCTGGCAATATCTAATAGTAATGTCTAATTCCAGATTTTCAAAGCTGTTCCCCTTAAGGTTATCCTGTGATATGGAGCGTGTTTGTGAAGGCTGCACCTCAGAAGCAGCATGGTGCATTTCAGTATTCTGCTAATTTCCTTGTTCTGGGTTCCCCTTGGAGTTTCTCAGCAAGCACTAAGGATGTGTCATCCTTTGAGTCATCTCTTAAAAGCAGTTTTCCTCCATGAAAGTTGTTTTGTTTTTTGACTCTGAGTACACAGAATGGTGCGTTTCACAGTCCTTTCACACAGATTTTTGCAAGGGAAGGGGATTGGGAAGGAGAAGAACAGAGCTGCCTTTGGGGCCTTGTGTGTCTTCACACCTTGCCTATGTCCTTTCTTTTTTATCAGCAATTCTCGCAATTTGAGCCCTTTCCCCAGCTGGGCTTCTCTTGTTTGTGACAGGGATTTGTAGAAACTATCTATGCTCTTGCAGACAGGTCTCAAAGAAAGCTATGTGGGGAACAGACCAACGGGGAGTTTCAATTGCTCTTAGATGTTTGTAATTCCAAATGTCTATTTATCTTCTTTTAATCCCTCCTTGGAGGACACCTCTCACCCCCATCTGCTGTCTTGGGTCAACACTCGGGTGTCTTACTCCCTTTCCCTTTTTGGATGCTCTGGGCTTAGATTTCTGTTGTGCTTCTCAGCTAGGTTCATCCTAGGGCAGAAACTGGTGGAGGGCAGCTGTCTGCCTACCAGCTCTGCCCCTCCTCGCTGCCTGAGAGTGGCCCCAGCCCTCCCCTCGTGGCCTCCTCTTGCTTTTGGGGAACATTTTCATGCTGAAGTGTGGCCTCTCCACAGCTGGTGTTGAACCCTTTTGGTTGCTCCTGCTGATGCATAACACAGCTGCCCCGTGGCAGTGCTGTGCTCTTGGAGCCGTGTCCCAGGGCAGTGCAAAGTGGTGGGCTCTAGTTACCCAGCCGTTCAGAGCCAATGTCTGATTAACGGCTCATGTAAAGACCTCCTGCTGAGGAGGCCATTCATGCTGTTCCAGAAATTTTGAGCTAATTGCACAAAAGGTGAAGCTCCAGTACAACAACAATTGATTCGGCCTCAGGCTCTACACAGCGGAGAACAGTTCATGAAAACTGAGGACTCGGCATGTGATTGCAGACCCTTAATCCAGCTAAAATACCATGGTGCCTGACCTCATTAGAAAAAAGCCACAAAACACATCTCATTGGATTGTTTCTTGCTGTGTCCTGCAAAATACTGGGAGCTTGGCCAACCAGCCAGATATGTCTCCCTCCTGTAGAGTGCCGTGTTTTCTTCTCTGCCTTGGAAACACTCATAGACCCAGAATGAACTCCTATAAACTCATGGGGAGGACAACTTATGGCTTACACTGTAATTAATACATTGAAGTAATATGCTTGGAGAATATATAGAGGTAATATGCTTGCAGCCATAGTGATTAAAGCTGATACAGGGCTTGTAGGGTGAGGAAGTAAGGCAAACAGGCTAGGCACAAGGCAGGGAGTTATCATGGGCCAGGAGAATTCATAAGCTGGCTATCAATATTTCTCTTAGATATTAAATCTTCTGAGAAGTTAGTGCATACCAATGGCACAGGTGCAAGGCTGCCAGCCTGGACACCTGCCTGACACCTCACCCTTGCTCTCTCAGCAAGTCTGTTCCACTTCCAAGAGTAAGTTTAAGTTGCACCCAAAGTGGTGCAGATTTTGCATATGGCAAAGGCATGCCTTTGCTTCCAAAGTCTAACAGCTTCCCTGGTGCAGACAAGCTTTTAGTTCTGTAGGATACCAGTAACAGACAGTTCTTGTTCCAAACGTGATTATTCGGATGCTAAGGGCTGTGGACTGAGAACCTGCCTTGAAATTCATGTATGGGAAAGGTGAAGAACACCAGAATTTCTGTGTATGTATGTGGCTTAATTCTTTACAGTGGTGGTCTGTAACCCATAGGTCATGGATGACGTGGTCTTACAAGGTGGCTTGGTTTCCACAGAGAGCTTCATCTTCAGTACAGAGAGGGCAGGCCGTTGTGTCAAAACACCGACTTCTTTCCCTTGCTCTTCTCACTTCAGCACAGGTAGGTGCAGGTCCAGCAGCGCAGAATAATCTTCTCTTTCATGGCTGCGCTGAAGGCTGGGGTTCAGAGGCAGCAGTAGGGAGGGGGGCTGGTGGGCATTTGTGGATTGAAGGTGACTGGTGCTTCCCTGTAGCTGAGACATCACCTCTTGTATCAAGCAGGGACTTTAGAACAGCTTGGTGCAAACCGGTTGAGTGTTGTCAGTGATTTGCTGTGGTCATTATCAAGGCATGAGGCACTGCTTCTGTGGGCTTGCACTGGCACTCAGTGCTGCAGGGTGCAGCCTGTAGGGCCTGCAAGCTCTTCTGGGACACACACGTGCATCAGATCCCATCTGTACCGTTCAGCGTTAAACATCAATATGAGCCTATTAGAGAGAGGCCAGGGAAAGTGGAAACGGCAGCTCGGCGGGCAGTGACAGATAGTGTGCAGGCGCATGCTGGAGAATGATTGATTTACTTATTTAGGGCTCCACTCAGCAAAGATTCAGTTCCATGGGGCTTGGACTTAATAAAGGTTGGGGAGACTAGGCTCTTTCAGGAGCAGATGAAACCAGTACTTTGGGCCTTTCATAGCATAGTGTTTGTTTATTTATTTGTTGAACTCATTCAACAGTCTCACAGTTAGCCTCACTGCCAGTGGTGGCCCTTCTGCCCTGGCACCAAGGGCAGGTGACTGCTGAGGGATTCAGGTGCTGCAGCAGCATGAAGGATAGTGTCAGGAGTGCAAGTTTTGAGGGGGTTCTGGGCCCAGCCCAAGCTTCATGGTGGCAGAGCTGTGGAGATATGATCCCTTGCCGCATCGGCCGCTCAGTTACTTGCCAGCTTTTGCTTTGCTGCAACACACAGAAGGAAGAAGATATGCAATATGGTTTTGGCCAACAAGAAGGACCACCCTGGGAGCAGCAGGGCCCCGGTATAGAGTCATCCTAGGGCCACTTCTTAGGTAACCAGCACCTTCTTACCTCTTTGGGAGATATCTCTTAAAGGCCTGTCAGCAGGCACCACCTCCATTTGGGAACGAAAGACTCAAGCTGATACAACACTGTTAAAACCTCTAGTGCGTAGAGCCCAAACTCTGTGAGAAGCCAGCGCCTATGCTATGCAATTTCTGGATCCAGAGTACATTTCTGTTGTGGTCAAATTGGTAGGATTTGCCAGACTTTATCAAACTGATGATTCATCTTCTCTGGAAGCCTTTCTCAGGGAGTGGGCAGCACCAGCTGCTTCAGAGGGAGGTGTGAAAGCATCCTGACAAACAGCTATGCAATATCCCCAGGGAGGTGTTGCTTCCTGGCAGCAGCATTTGGCCTCGAGCATCAGCCTCATCTCAAGTGAAAATATAGCAAAGCACAGTCTTAGAGCATAGGGATTATAAGGAAAAGGTCTAAAAAAAATCTCCCCATTTAAAGCGAAGAGTAGCTGCTCTTCCTTACAGCTACATACAGGTGTCCTGCAAAAGATTGAGACCCATTTCCCTTCTCCTCCGGACAGGTCTTTAGCTGACAACAGCAGTTTTGACAGTAGCTGCCTATTTCTCCAGCACATACCCAATCTACAGGAACACCCTTCAGTTTAATACCTCCTCTGTGCCCATTTTCTGGGGCTGTTCATTGGCTATAGCTGTCAATCTGACTACTCTGTGACTTGGAAAAAAAAAAATCCCACATCCATCAGAAGTAGCCAAGGCACTAATGGAGACCAATCAAGTGTGGCACGCATCACCTGAGGGATCAGCATGCAGGAACGAGACTTGGAGGAAGCACACAGCTACTTAAGGGAGGGATACTGCTGTGGAGGTGGGCTGAAGGGAGAGCAGGTAGCTGCTGAGGAAGGACTGGCACTAGAAGATGCTCCAGCTGCCCATTAGAGGTATCTGCAGCTCTGCCTAGCGTTGACGCTTTGCTAATGCTAGTTTCATTGGGTGGGTAGTACAGTAGGAAAACAAATGGGAGTAAGTCAAACAATTGGAAATTCAGGGTGTTATCTGCAAAATGCAGTTGGGAAAAAATTGTTCTCTTTTAATGACTTCCCACAGATTTAAGTCCCTTGTGTTTTTGCTCCTAATGTCAGTGCTTAGAAATAGGGCTGAAGAAGTAATATAACATTTTTGCTAATGTTAAGCTGGCAGCTAGTTAGGACTGGTGGTTTATTGTACAGACCAAATAGCTCTAAGAGATCTGTTTTATGAACTTGCAGAAGGGCTACTGCTTTCAGGAAGCAGGAAAATTGGAATCTCTGTCTTTATACTTCTTGGGAGGCACAGTGACCTGCAGCGACTTAGC